CTTTTCATCAATACACAAACAGGCCACTCAATATTATGGTGTCTGTGTTTTGCCAACTTGTTGATTTTTGTTGTTTGGTTGGTGCCTGTATTATTTACGATTAATACAGATATACTTAAGGGTAAAAAGGAACGTGTGTAATATTTGAAATTGTAATAAGGCAGAATGTTTATATTTTTATAGCAAGATATAACTGTAGACCAGGAGAATGGGCGTGTCCCCACAATGGAAAGTGTATCTCTATTTATAATGTCTGTGATAATAAGAGAGATTGTGATAAAGATGAAGATGAAGTTATGTCTTGCAGTAAGTATCAGATGAACCAACCAAAATTTTCGTCTGTCATATCGGAGACACAGTGGCTTGGTCAGTTGATTACTCGCTCGCTGACAGGGTTCGGTACTGGTACCAGCATAGGTTGAGATATGCAGATCAGAAGGGCTGACATGGAAAAAGCATCTAGTCATTAGGATGGGACGATAAACCAAGGCCCTGTGTTGTTCATACTGTGTACAGAAGAGATCTTTGAAAATCAGAAACTCTCAGTTGTTCACTAACCAACCCAGGTTTTCCCTCATCAGTGATGCAGGTCAGAGGGAAAAGGCAAATGCTGGTGTCTTGGCAAAATTTCCCTCATTGCACACTGCATTTCAGTTCAAATAATTGCAGTGAATTGTCGTGTGATCACCAGGCCCTGTGTGCTATAGGATACTTACCCCTTGACATTTGATGCCACTGTCCTGGCAAAATTTCCCTCATTGCACACTGCATTGGGTTGCCCATCGTCATTAACCCTTTCCATTCCATTTCAGTTCGAATAATTGCGGTGAATTGTCGTGTGCTCACAAGTCCCTGTGTGCTATAGGATATTTACCCCTTGACATTTGATGCCACTGTCCTGGCAAAATTTCCCTCATTGCACACTGCATTGGGTTGCCCATCGTCATTAACCCTTTCCTTTTTATTTCAGGTTGGATTAATTGCGGTGTATTGTCATGTGATAATAAATGTCGATCAACGCCATCTGGTGGAGTTTGTCATTGTAATGTAGGATATCATATCACCCCCGATAATAATAGAACCTGTGTAGGTCAGTATCTTTCATATTGGTCATCAATTTTCATCTTTCTGCTTTAAAGCTAAGATTCCATATACACATCATGCTGATCCGTCTTGCGTCATCCATCATGCGTTAAAAATCGAAATGGTTGGTTTAAGAGGGTATGATTCCATATACACATCATGCTGATCCGTCTTGCGTCATCCATCATGCGTTAAAAATCGAAATGGTTGGTTTAAGAGGGTAAGATTCCATATACACATCATGCTGATCCGTCTTGCGTCATCCATCATGCGTTAAAAATCGAAATGGTTGGTTTAAGAGGGTATGATTCCATATACACATCATGCTGATCCGTCTTGCGTCATCCCTCATGCGTTAAAAATCGAAATGGTTGGTTTAAGAGGGTATGATTCCATATACACATCATGCTGATCCGTCAAGCGTCATCCCTCATGCGTTAAAAATCGAAATGGTTGGTTTAAGAGGGTATGATTCAATATATGCAGAAGCGGTATCCGTCAAATGGTCTCCGTAGGGTGTAGCGATTTTTGACGCATCCAGACGCCTTTCCGCGCGGAGATCTCCCAAATGTGATGTATTTTGTGGGGATTGCCTGTCTTTTTTATACACTAAAGCATCCATCTGTCTAGAAGTCGCATGACGAGTATATGGAATCTTAGCTTTCAAAGGATGCTGGAGCCTCGGTGGCTCAGTGAGTTAGATGCTTGCTCGGTAATTTGAAGGTCCAGGGTTCAATCCCAGCATAGGTCAAGATAATACCTTCAGATTTTTCAACCCAGTTTCCCCCTGTCAGTGAGTTAGACGCTTGCTTGCTAACCTGAAGGTCCAGGGTTCAATCCTAGCATAGGTCCAGATAATACCTTCAGATTTTTCGATCCAGTTTCCCCCTGTCAGTGAGTTAGACGCTTGCTCGCTAACCTGAAGGTCCAGGGTTCAATCCTAGCATAGGTTGAGATAATACCTTCAGATTTTTCGATCCAGTTTCCCCCTGTCAGTGATGTAGGTCAGATTGGTGTATGAACATTTGTACAGCAAACTGTGCACATGAATTTCCCACATTACACACTGCATGGTGTTGCCCGTTTTCATTAGCCTAATCAGAAGCAG